TTTGACTATTGTCTCTTAGAGGACTATTCTTTTCTGAAGAGCAAATCAGGGGTGAAGTGGATCTGAGTGAGAGGGGAGGTGAAGGGAAGCTTGGAGGGGTGGAGGGAGGAGAACCCGTGGTCAGTATGTATTGTAAAAGAGAACCTACTTTCAATTTTTTTAAAAAATTAAAAGGTAGAAATGTTCAACATCCTTCACCATTAAGGAAATGCAATCAAAACTACTTTGAGATTCCATCTTACACCTGTCAGAATGGCTAAGCTCAATAACACAAATGACAGATCATACTGGCCAAAAACTAAAATCAATAAAATGATTCCTAATAACATTCTGCTATACTCATATATCAGTACCTTTTCTAGTCATCATCATAGATGATTACTCCAGCAGCAGATAGGAACAGATGCAGAGGCCCACAGTCGTAAATTATGTGGAAAGAAAATCTAAGTTGGAGATCTTTATCAAATCTCTACCCAGAAGAGGAGGAAGAAAAACTGTATAATCCAGAGAGGATGGAAGATGCCAGGAGAAAAAAGGCCCTCTGAATCAACTAAGCAAGGTATATATACATACACACACACACACACATACACACACACACACACACACACACACACACACACCCCACACACATATATGTATATATACGTATATATATATGCATATATACATGTATATATACACGTATACGTATATATACATATATACATATGTATATACATATGTGTGTGTGTGTGTGTGTGTGTGTGTGTGTGTGTGTGTGTTCACAGACACTGAAGCAGACAGCACATGGCCTACAGGGTCTGCACCATATCCTCTGCATATATATTATAGCCATTAGCCTTGTATTTTTATGGGACTTCTGGCTGTGAGAAAGAGTATGTCTCTGACTCTTGTGCCTGCTCTTGGGACTCTTTTCCTCCTGTTGGGTTCCCATGTCCAAATTCAATATGAAAGTTTTTGCTTCATCTTTATATATTTTATTTTGTCATGTTTGGTTGTTATCTCTTAGCAGCCTTTTCTTTTATGAGAGACAGAAAGAGAGTCATTCTGAAAAGGAAGGATGGTGAGAAGGAACTGGGAGGAGTAGAGGGAGGGTAAACTATAATCATGATATATTGTTTGAGAAAAGAAACTATTTTTAATAAAAGAAAAAAGAAGGGAGAAATTGGACATATAATTTTGCCTGGGAGAATATTCATCTAGCTAGGAATGTGTTCGTATAAATGTAGATGAGCTAACAATGTGGTAAACTAATATTTCCAAGTGACTGAATGATCCATGAGCTCATTTAAAAAAAAAATTATCTGTTGAACTATTAAAATGCTGGTAGTCTGAACAGACCAAAGCTTTTCCAAGGAATTATATGTTTTTAAAACAAAATCCCAGTGTCACATGTGAAATGAGTGCACTACGAGTTGTTGGCCAGGGAGCCCCCAAGGCAATACATGTATTGTTATTGACAATGATTCCGGTTACCTGCCAAAAGAAAATGGAATGTGTTGAGGACAACACATTCTTTGGATACAGAACACAGAAATCAAGTTGAACTGAGCTGTAAGTTTCCTTCCCACTGACTAGTTTTCATAGTACAGGAAGGTTCTGTGCAAATGATTGAGAGAGAAAATTCAGCGATGATCTAATATAGTCTTGAACTCTATGTTATAATAGCAACCTTAGGCCAAGATGTATTAATAACATGGCAGTCCCGGAGACAAGCTATCAATTTCTTTTTGGATCTTGGGGCTGCAGGAATACACACCTTGTACTGTAAACCTAGTCAAGCATTTATGGCCTTGGGTCCCATGGTAGACTCTACTACCAATGTTTTGTTAAATAAACTAGTTGAATTGCTTTCTAAATATTTGTGTTTACAAACATAGATTGATATAAGTCTCGGCCTTAGCCAAAGAACTCTTCAGCAATGGGTGACAGTCAAAGCAATTACTCAAAACTCTTCAAAGGGCTGAGAATCAGGGAATTTAGAGTGTTTGGCCACAAATAGAACATCTATATTATCCACAATGGGCCCCAGAGTGATGGCTCAGTCATTAATAGTGTCTTCTGCCCTTCCATGGAAGCTGTTTTTGATTCTTGTCACCCACATGCAATTCACAACCATCTGTATCTCCAGTTCCTGAGGATACAACTTCCTCTTTCAGCCACTGAGGGCACTGCATGCACATGGTGCAAAGATATGCATGAAAGCAAAACATTCAAACATATAAAGTATACTTTTGATTTTTTTAAAAGGAATCTAAGGTCTGGAGGATGTAGTTAAACATTGTAATATGTTACCTTCTGGATATAGCACAACTTTTGCAAATATAAGCACAAAGCAAATATGATCATATACACAAGACTTGCACAGAAGAATAAAAAAAGACATAAAAATAGAAGTTGGACTAGTTAGGAAAGATGTCAAAAGTGTGAGTATAGGACTAAGAAGGTAAAAGGGAAGGGAATGCGATCACAATATCTTGAATACAAGTAAGAAATTTTAAATAATAATAATGTCAAACAGAGCTAAGGACAATTCATTGCCTGAATCTATGCCTAGTATTTATGTGGCTTTGAGTTCAATTTCCAACACACACACACACACACACACACACACACACACACACTCCATCTTTGATAATATATATTAGAACATTTGATAGCATCTGAATAACAAAATAGTTCCTCTCAAAAATAGGAAGAAGCAAAGTGCTAGAGAGGTCCCCAGAAATCCACAAAGACACCTCCACAATAGACTATTGGCAATGGTCAAGAGAAAGCCTGAACTGACCTACTCTGGTGATCAGATGGCCGAACACCCTAAATGTCATGATAGAACTCTCATCCAATGACTGATGGAAGCAGATACAGAGATCCACAGCCAGGCCCCATGTGGAGCTCCAGGAGTCCAATCAGTGAGAGAGAGGAGGGATTATATGAGCAAGAGATATTGAGACCATAATTGGAAAAGCACAGGGACAAATAGCCAAACTAGTGGAAACACATGAACTATGAACCAATAGCTGAAGAGCCTCCATGGAACTGGATCAGGCCCTCTGGAAAAGTGAGACAGTTGATTAGCTTGAACTATTTAGGAGACCCCCAGGCAGTAGGACCGGGACCTGTCCTTAATGCATGAGCTGGCTCTTTGGAGCTTGGGGCCTATGCTGGGACACTTTGATCAGCCTAGGTGAAGGGAGGAGGGGACTGGACCTGCCTCAACTGAATCTACCAGGCTGAGTTGAATCACCAGGCTGAGCTGAGTCCTTGCCTTGGAGGAGCTGGGAATGGGGTGGGGGTGGATTGGGGGGAAAGGGGGTAGCAGGAGGGAGGACAGGGGAATCTGTGGCTGATATGTAAAATTAAATTAATCATAAAATTTAAAAAAAAAATTCAAGGTCAAAAAATATTAATAACTAAAAAAAAGAATCACAGGCACTTGAATTTTCAATAAAGCATATACAATATTTATAGATGCTTTGTAGTATTACAATATACATACACAGTGCATACTAGGAAAACAGATTATTTAATGTTTCTTGGTCCTCATCATAACTTTTTGTGAAGCTTTCTATCTTATTCTTTCCTATTGTGACTCACAGGTATCTGATAAGCTATTGTGAAATATAATCACCTATGTATTTGGGATAGCAATTACAGGTTTATCAAAAACTTTGAGGTGGAAATGTGACAACCCCAATTTTGTTATTGTTTGAATAATTATTGAATTGACACATAATATTTCATAATTATGCATAATGCAAATTAAAATATATAAGAATAAAAATTAAAAATCTTAACTAACATTAAGAAATCTAACTAAAAATTAAACATAATATTATCAACAGCATTTTCTAATCAATGTTCTAAAATAGGTCTTATTACTTCAGTATAAATATTAAAGAGGTAAAACTATTTTAAATTCAAGATTCCTCTTAATGCATCAGCTGTCATAAATTGAGGCATTTAGCTTAATTCTACTTATGGATACAAAGTCAAGTAATTTGAAGAAACTTGATCTAAATGTTAAGAAAAAGGTAGTAGTAAACTCTAATTTGTATTTATATCTCTATATATCCATGTTTGCATATGTAAATACTAATTATTTACAAAATTATTTTATTGGATTCTGCCCAAAATTGATGGCACACTAAGACATTATAAAAATGAATTAATAATGATCAATAAGAAGCAGCTCATCTACTCTCGCCATTAGTAATTAGTAGCCTAGAGGACTCATAGTTAAGTATCTTTATAGTGAATGATTTAATAGTAGTGTCATTAAAACATTAGAGTTTCTTTAATCTTCACATGAAATTTTATCATCTATGTTTCCATTTACACTATCACTAAGTGTTGAAAGTGTCCACGCTTTATTTTTACAGTTTTTAACATTCTAAGGTGTTACTAAGAAACATTACATAAAAAGTATTCAAGTTATGGTTGCTTTACTGAAATAATTCATAATTCCTCTGAATTGTACCTTGCATTCTGTCTCAAGTCAGTGAGCATTTATCCAGCAATATCTCCCACCAGAAAAATATATGAACTTACACTTAACATAAATCACATATGAAGGCTAGAGAAGAAGATTAAGTTCATAAAGTTTGCACACCAGATCTCTAAAATTAAAGATAACTTTTGTTCCAAGGCTCAGTAGTGTTTCCAACACAAATAGTACATTCTGTGCTTCTGGGAAAGCAAACACGATCTGTCAACAAACCTAAAAAAGACCGTGAAACCCTTAAGCCTGAAAAGGATCATGAAACCATTTAAACACACACACACACACACACACACACACACACACACACACACACACACACACACACACACACACACAACTCTTATTTAAGATTAAGCTGTTCCCTTGACTTTATGATGAGAGAAAACCAGCACACTGCTAAGGTGTAGCTGGAGGGCTTCTCTCCA